GCAAGGAAAAGTTTAATAATAATTCTCACCTCTTCTTTCCTTAACTCCAAACGTGACGATCAGGGTTGCTAGCAGAGATATACCACAGATGGCCCCGGCGGAAATTAGGTACCCGTTTTTCTGGAAAAAAAAGTCATCACAAAAACAGTTAGAAAAATATGACAAGGCAACCAACCAGGTCAGACCTCAACTATCAGAAGCAAAGCGCCCTACATACAAAAAGTGAGGAAAGAGAAAGACAGAGAAAGACAGGCAAACATACGAGCCAAACACAAGACTCCTTGGCGTACGCGTGAAGCTACGTGGATGTGGATCTGTCCTTGGTGCTGAACGCCATCTACACATGTTTATGCATTTTACCCGCACACACACGTGCGCGCGCACACGCACACACACACGAACGCACGCACACGCACACGCACTCGCGTACTTACACACACACACACAAGCGCACATGTGCACTCACGTACGCACGCACACACGCACGCACAAAACGCACACGCACACCACACACACACACACACACACACACACACACACACACACACACACACACACACACACATGTACACTTACCACGTCCTGCAGTGCCTCCGGGTCTATGCGGTGGGTACTGTTGTCAGTACTGTTCGCCGGTCTACACGCCTTCGCCTCGCCCGTGTCGTAGGCGGCCACGACTTGTCCGTGCAGGGCGATCCCCATAACTACAGCTACCAGCTCCACAACACCTCCTGTGGGGGCACAAAATGATATGTAAAAAGTGCGTATGTAACTGAAAGATATGGGTAACATTTACGTTTCTCACAAGAGTAGCATATTATGATTAGTAACGTCTGTTTTCAATCAAACTTCAAGAACGGTCTTAGTCTATACCGGACGGTTCATATGTTCATTAGAAAACGGGACCCATACAGACACGTGCTTTACTTTTGAATCTTATCTGGTTGGTTTATTAGAAACATCAAAGTTGAAATTTGTCGTCACTTTTAATAGCCTGCGCTCTCGTTGCTTCCCTGTAAGACTAGAGCAGGGGAGCAAAGAGACCGCACTATATTCTAGAAAGGTTACAATTTTGATATTCTGACTAAATTGCGCTTCTAGGACCGGAAGGGGGGCAATTATCCTCAGGTAGGGAGAGATTGCGTAACACGGGCTATGAGCTTTAACTGTTCAGAAATCGGGGGCCTCGCGGGAGAGTGAAACTAACTGAGATACGTATACGTACTTATGAGTGTGGCTCTGTTCCTCTCGTCCTCGTCATCAGACATGTACATGACCAGGGTCCGGTAAGCAACGTTGTTAGCCTGCAGGGAAAGTGGGAGACAATAAGTCAACTACTTTACTGAACCGCGACGGGGGCCGACATCGTCTACCAGATACCCAGTGTTGACGTCACACTTCAAAGAAGCCACGTGACAAGCCTCACTGGGTCAATCTACTGAGGAAGACCAGAGTGACTGGTCGAAAGCTCTAGGTGAGAGAATTTTTTGTGTTGGATGCACAAGGCCTTTGTAATATATATCGTTGCACAACCGTGTAAATTTTATATACACGTGTGTGGATAGCGATCAGCCCCAGGGAAAGAACTAGAAATCTATATCATGTTTTACTGGTGTTTCATCGATTACTTACCGTCTGTAGAAACACGAAGGCGGAACACAGCACGAGATAATAGAACATCTTCACGATATCCGGCATGTTGGGCGGGACATACCAACACAGGAAGTACACGGGAACGAGAAGCAATCCCGATCCCAGGATCCTACCGGACAGGAAAAAACAATTATGCTCAGTAACAATCCCTTAAAAACTTCGAAGGAAAACTGCCCGTTCTTGAATGACATTTTGGGCCGAACACTTAGCTCTTAATTGTAAATCCGTGTCAGGATATTATATATGGCCTCTACTTCCTTCCATTCAACAATTTGTGTACAGTATTTTGTACGTAAACACGGGATAGATCGTAGTTAACGTCTGTTATCATAACCCCACAGGGTGATATATTTTTGCACATCTGACACTCTAAAATGCACCCAAATAGATCTACAATGTACAACGTACAATACAACGTTTCTCAGTATAATGGACTGCATATCTGAAGTGTGCATACTTGGGGCTGCTGCACTAATTATATAGATAGCTCTACAACACCTTCACTGAGTGCCAGATATGTGTATTCAGTAGCCTCCACCAGGCCTTTCTACGGGAATACGGATCGTACAATTCGGCAAAAAAGAGAGTTAAATTGGCCAAGGGAGTCCGACCGCGGGGAGGTAGTTTCTTTTCCTCTGCGCGTCAGTCAAACCTACAAGAAGGCCAAACTCCCCTGGCAATCATTCTACTATATATAGCCAGCGTAGTTAGTCTGGTAGAGACAATGTATTCAAGTGGATAAATGTGAACGGAGGTTACCATGGTCTCATCCTGCCGAACCGTGTGTTTGTGGAGGAGATGAACTTCCCCACGATCAGGTTGGAGATGACGTCCCAAAACCTGCTGATGAAAACAACCACTGTGGCGTACCGGGCTGATACCTGGGGGAGGAGAGGGGAGAATTTCCTCTCTGTGTTATCATGATAGCCTCTACCAAGCTTCGGGAGGCGGCTGGAAAGAGTAGAAATCGGCTAAATAGAGAGATAACATACCGAGGGAGTTGGTCTGCTAAAGAGAAAACTGTACTCTTCAGCAGACCAATTCCAGTTGGTCTATTTGACCGATTTCTACTATTTCCATACGCCTCCCGAAGCCTGGTAGAGGCAATTATCGTGAGTCTTTGTTGTGGCAGTGAGATGATGTGGTTAGGGTTGTTGACTTAGAATCAAAGTTTCTGGGTTCAAATCCCTAGCAGACCCAATGTTGCGCTCTTGGGAGATGCACTTCTTTACACTTACATATGTATATTCTCACTCGACTCATGTGAAATGATAGTCTAGCTTAGGTTATGGACGTCCTCTCGGATGGGATGAAAGTCCCAAATGTCCCATTCATTACCTCATGAAAAGGAAAAAGGTGTCTGTGTCCAATAACAAATGAGGTGTAAATAGTCATGAAGATCGTTTTCAAGATACGTGTAGGTACTGAGAAACTTACGACATTGAAGACATCCAGTGCAGTTTTTAGGGCTTGGAAAAACGATTTTTCAAAGGCAATATTCTGGTCATTTTTATACATACTGAGTTTAAACTACACTATCCCAATGTATATCGACCCTCATGGAGCAAAAATACCCAAAATTCTGACGGAAAATGGTTACTGAAAGGGTCCAGGGCTGATTTTTAGGGTACCTCCCATGAAATAAAGGACTGATCTTGGGGCTTGTTACTCCAGTTTTAAGAACCAAAAATATGAAATAATGATTGAAATGTGCTAACGTGAAATAGTACGTGTCAATATCATAAAGATTGCCTTATTCAGAATATTTCCAGTTTTGTTGCTCTGAAATCGCAATCGATGCCTTTAAGTCATCAGGTAAAGAATTTATATTCTATATATATCCTATCCCCATGACTACAGTATGTTGATACAACTATTGCCTAACCTGTAGTTGTCTAACCCAGTACCAACCCTACATGCATTTCCCAGATATACATGCTGAACTTTATTTGTGAAGGGGTTGTGTTTTCAAAAGATGGTTGTCGTTGCCCTTGATTTTATCTGAAGGCAGCGACAACAGCTGCTGCTCAGTGTTTGTGACAACAGGATGCATGCATCGCCTGTTCTCTTTCTACGAATTGTCCTCGCCAACATACAGTATATAGCGAGGGGCGTTACGCTAGCGGCGCAGGCCAAGTCTGTCGTCGCTATAAGAAATATTACTATGTCACTAAGGCTAAGAAAAGGGTTAAAATCAGAGTCAGGACTCTTCTAGATGATTACAACTTTTTTGACCCAAAATTCATACTCTTTGCTGAGAAATTATGGGGCCGACTTGTCCTGGGCTTGGTGCCGAGTTGTCCTGAATGGCCAAGGGGCCGATTTGTCTGATACAGGGGCCAAGTTGTCTTGGAATCGTACGTACCTAGGGACATACCTATATGTTAACTGTCTATCCAGAAAGTTCATGTCTTAATTATTAATTAGCTCACAAGACAATAATTAAGACATGAACTTTCTGGATAGACAGTTAACATATACGTAGGTATGTCCCTAGGCCTGAGCAAAGGACACGTCAGTAAATACATAATTATGGGTAAATACATGGTGGCAATATGATGAGCTGCTTATTTTTCCTACAATTTCGTAATTTTGTTCCCTTTCGTGCCAAGACTAACAAGTAAAAGCGCAGTCATGACAATCCAGTCACAACTTCTTGATTATTTGTCTAGTTACCCTTTGATTTCCTTCTTGCATATCCCACCTGCTGTCTGACCTTTCTAACATATGGAGGATATCGATCGATTGTGATTACAAACGGGGAAATGGCGATATCGCGAGGTGTCAACATATCCGCCTCTATTCAGGACAACTCAGCACCTACATAATCTAGTCGACACCTACATAATCTATTCGGCACCATACTCAGCACATAATCAGCATTTTTTTGCCATCCGATTTGTACCGGCAACCACGAAATACTTTCGGATGGCACCCGTTACAAATCGGATGGCACCCAGGCTAGTATTCTGGGCTAAACGTACTGGTAATTTTCATCGACTAGTAGCCTCCTCACTACATATTAAGGCAGGTATTTTTAGCGACGACGGTCTTGTGCTTGGTGCCAAGTTGTTCTGAATGGCCAGGGGCAGAGTTGGCTTGGAATGTCTCTGTTTGCTTTCATGCTTGAAGCATTAGACTTGTAGATCTTCTTTCGTGTGATTATGAATTTGCCCTCACATTCTTACTATTATTGTGCCCCCATTGTTTTTGTCCTAGTGCAGGGAGCGTCAAGAAAAGGCCTCAGGCCATCTCTTTAGATACACGTGTACCTGCATATATGGACGTCTTAGTTATATAACTACCTCTACTCTACACAATACTGCAGAGTCTGACATGGATCTTACCTGTGCCACTTCCACCAGAAACACGTTGTTGTAAGTGTTCATCACTGTTATGAACAGGGCGCCAGAAAGCATGCCCAGTCCGTAGAACGTGGTCTCTAGCCATGACACTGTTCCAGTCTTGTCCTGTGACATATCGCTGTACTTGTTCCTCTAGTCCCGAATCAAAAATAGGCTTCAGTCAGTGTCGAACAGAACGGCTCTGTGCACGTTCCGACGCGAAGACAATTGTCACGTCACAATGTCCTTTCACACCGTCATGGATACACTTGCAACGAGACCCTGTCCACGAGACAACCTCTGTCTGATAGTGCAGCAGTTAGTAGTAGAAGTGTGGTCCCGACGACGCCTTCCCAACAGTATGTTGACCCGGGTCAACACCGGTTGAACAAGTTGTCTGTCTGCCTTTTCAGATCGCTGGAATCACTGTGCTAGCCGGTGTTCAATCTATACTGGGCTCGCCCGTGCGTTGTGTTTCCCATGCAATTTTCTCACAATGGTTTTTCGATTGATTTTTGCAAATGCTGTTGTTTGCATGGCCTGATTAGATCTCTCTCTCACACAACGAGATTTTGCTTTACACAACCATTAGTGCTCCGGGGCCGAACACAAAACGCTGTGACTCGTACACGGTTAAAGCTTGTGATCTTACTCGTGTCTGTCTACCAGGATACACAGAAGTGTAACAATGAATCTATTAATAACATTAGTACACTTACGGTGTCAAAAATGGCGTTGAGGACTTAACGTTACGTATGTAAGTCCTACATGAAAGGTTGTTGTATCTGCTTGTGTTGGAGGCACCATGCCGGAACCCCTCGGGACATTTCGTGCTACTTTGTATACATAATGATCCAATGTGCACTTCATCGATATGCCTGAAAAGAACAAGTGGCGCGGAGGGGGAGGGGGTGTCTGAAGAGGTCTAGAAATTTATATCTGGGTCATTTTCCTCTGAATTAAGTTGTGAATGTGCCCGTGTGTGGGAAATAAAACATTATGACAAGTATTTTGAATACACCGTCCTAACACAGATCGTAGTTATGAAGAATAAAGCTATGCAATGTCAGTGTTCGCGGGGTATACTACTAAAGTAATTGGTTTCCTGACCTGGTATAACGTTACACGTTTAACCAACACTTAAACCCGTTTTAAGCACTGCGAGAATTTCTGTACCAACTTTCCACAAGTAAATAAAGTTCCGTAAGTTTGTTGTACACAGTAAGCCACGTGCGAGCAAAAATGCCCCGATTTAGTTACTGTTTCACCCACTGAACATAATCGTTAAAACCACGGTGAGAAACAAGAAGGCCCCACAACAAGACGGTTCTTAACATTAACGTTAACAAGGAGGTTCTAGAACCTCATTGCTGACAGTAAGAGAGACCACTACAGGTGTCCTGAATATTGTACTGATGAGTACTGTAGAAAACTATATCTAGTACGTTAAAATATATATTCTAACGTTTTGCTTTGTATCTAATGGTCTCACTTACCTTACAACTATTAAAGCAGCCACGTAGCTCTTGAAAATTGTCATGATCTAGGATCCGACGCAAATACGGTAGCCAACGCTTTAGTACTCTCCAAGCAGAGGTTTGGGTTTTGGCTTATTTTTGACGTATTTTTAGGCTTTTTTTATCGGGGTTTCTTTGTTGCACTGGAATGTCATGGGTTGGCATAAAAAAAATTCCAGTGCAAAAAAAGAAACCCCAACAAAAAAAGCCTAAAACACGCCAAATATAAGCCAAACCTCTGCTTGGAGAGTACGCTTTACTCCCGTGACGAACTCCGCGGATAAAATCTTCCGCACGCTATTCTGAGCCTGCGCTCTACGGAGCTTACTCAGATAACCCCATATTGTCAGTTCTCCAAGATGGCCGCCGGTCTGTGCCGTGTTTCGCTGCTTCGACTTTCAAGAACGCTTTCTCCCGGAGCAAATGTAAGTCTTGGGAAAGTCTTTTGTTATCCAGCCCGTACACTACTCTTCTTTGTTACCGACATGTGGAGAGGATGTCGAATTTGATTTGGAGCTGGAAATTTGCTCGCAAAGTTCGGTCATTCCAACTCGCCGGTTGTGACATCGCCTGACCTTGCACATGTCCCAAGTCGACGGATTTTAACGGATTCCGGCCGGTTTGATGACAGCTACCCCGTAATCGATCCTAAAATGTGCTTCATATAGTATTTAGTGCTGAATATTGGGTATGGCTGAACGCAAGGTAGTGTAAGAAGACTGCAACACACACAGTTAGTACCGCCGCCCTCCCACAGTACCCCCCTCCCCACAGAGTTTTTGCTAGTGCAGGTTTTTTCTGTACATAATTTTGTACGTGAAGAATGTTGTACCTTGAGTAAATACAAGGGGGTGTATCACCTATTTTTCTAGATATTCTGCATGTATTGAAGTATGTGTACGCAATTTGTTCAACAACTGAACAAGTCCATGACTATGAAACCATTTTAACTCTTTAATACATATATGTAACGTTAATACTAAAAGTTTTGAAAAAGAAAAACTAAGTGATTGATTGTCTTTTCCACAACTCTCCTGTATGTCCAGACATGGCGTTGTGCCTCCACGCGCGCGTCCTACAGCCAGACCCTTCTCAACGTGCCGGAGACTAAGGTGACCACGCTGGACAATGGCTTCCGGGTGGCCAGCGAGGACTCAGGACTGCCCACCTGCACGGTCGGGCTGTGGATCGACGCGGGCAGTAGGTACGAGAACCAGCGTAACAACGGCACCGCTCACTTCCTGGAGCACATGGCATTTAAGGTGGGTCCCCCTTCTTTCATACTGCTTAGCCCAATAGCAACTTTCTATATTGTTTAGACTTTAGATCTAACACTATAAAGTTCTCTCACGTAGAGCTTTCGACCAGTCACTCCGGTTTTCCTCAGTAAACTGACCCAGTAAGGCTTGTCACGTGGCTTCTTTGAAGTGTGACGTCTTCTTTGAAGTGTGACGTCAACACTGGGTCAAAGGTATCTTGAAGATGATGTCGGCCTCCTTCGCATGACAAGCCTCACTGGGTCAGTCTACTGAGGAAGACCAGAGTGACTGGTCAAAAGCTCTAGGTGAGACAACTTTTTTTGTGTTGGATCTAAAGGTATACCCATGCGTCCAAAAGTTCTAATTCCATCCAAGAATAGTAAGAAGTTTACAGTGACACCTTGTGAATGCCAACGTAATGTAATTTCCCCCACAGGGTACAAAGAACCGCTCCCAGATGGACCTAGAGCTGGAGGTAGAGAACATGGGAGCCCACCTGAACGCCTACACCTCACGGGAACAGACTGTCTACTACGCCAAGAGCTTCTCCAGGGACCTGGGAAAAGGTTTGTTTGTTTGTTCGTTTGTCTAATTCTAAGATAGTGGAAAGCAGAGGTAGGCTGCATTGTCAGGAGATGAGAACAGCAAAGATGATGATAAACTCTCTAACTTGTCTAAGACAACGCTTCAATTTTTAAACATTTTTGCAGCCAATAGAGTTACTAGTACATACAAATAGTTACCAGTTGTCAGGTTAAGTGATTTTAGTTATGTACTAAGGAAGCGCATTCCAGTCTCTGACTGTCTGAGGGAAATAGGAGTATCTGTAGCAGTCTTTGTGAAATGGTAGAGCCTTGTAGAAATTTGGGTTGCAATGTCTTTGTCTTTGTTTTTTTCAGCGGTGGATGTCCTGTCTGACATCATCCAGAACAGCACATTGGGTGAGGCTGAGATTGAGCGAGAGCGCGGCGTGATTCTACGCGAGATGCAGGAGGTAGAGACCAACCTACAGGAGGTTGTGTTTGACCACCTCCACGCCACGGCGTACCAGGGCACCGCGCTCGGGCGTACCATCCTTGGACCCACCGAGAACATCAAGTAAGGCACTCTCTTTCTAACATAGTAGAGTTACAGCATCTCAAAGACAGTGCTTTATGTTCTTTATTGCTACGAGGGTCCTCATCACTTTCACATTCACAAAATTGTAATGCTTTCTGTCTGCGCAGTCTGTGTAAAATGTTGTTTTTATCCCTCCACAGGTCTATCAGCCGCCAGGATCTGGTAGACTATATCAGCACTCACTACAAGGGCCCACGGATTGTGCTGGCAGCAGCAGGAGGTAAACATTTGCTTGTTGGTTTATTTATTATTTGCACATACTCGAATTGGCCTGGTGGCCGCTTTTCATTGAGATAACATTTCATTTTACCAATGAATCTGTGTATTAATCTTTATACCATTACACATCTTTTATGAGAGGTCATGGATTTGATTCCTTGGCTGGACATTTTGTTCTTGGAAAAGGCACTTTGCACGACTTTCCTCACTCAACCCAGGTTTTAAAATGGGTAACTGACTTAAGTTGAGAAGGCAATAGGCAGGAGCAGGAGAGTGATGGGCTCTGCCTTCCAATACCGTGCCCTATACACAGTGGATTAACAACCCACTGTCACTATCCAGGAGCTAAGAATTGGAACCTGATACCCGATATAAATCAACCAATTTTGGGACCCCATTACTACCTGTATCCAGGGTTAGATTATACTGCTGCTGTTGTCCCTGCCACAGGGGTCGACAGTTTGAAAAAGGCTATGGGACTACCTTTACCTTTACCTTACCTTACAAACTAGCATTGCTTCTCCCCCACTGCAGGTGTGAACCATGATGAGTTGGTGAAGCTGGCAGACAAGTACTTCGGCCAGCTGAGTATGTCATACGAGGGCCAGGCACCACCCGTCCTGCCACCATGCAGATACACAGGCAGTGAGGTAAGGCTGGAGCAACAGGGGAGCACATTCAGGGATGTTGCATGTATGAGTTCAGTTCAGTTCAACGTCACAGAACAGTTGTTGCTTGAACCTGTTAATGTATACCATGTATTTTAAGTCTTTCTTATAATATTACCCTGTCCCTGTGTTATTGTATGACAGTTGTTATTTTGTGTTGATATACCCTGGTATTACATGTTAAGGACCATGTGAAGAATAGCTGAGAATATTATAAAGCTACATGTAAATTGTGGATCCAAATGAAGTCAAAGTCAAAGGTGACACTCGGAAAAATTGAAAATACTTGTACAAATGTATGTGTACACAGTGAAACCTGCCCAAAAAGACCACTCAGGAGACCAATAAAGTCTGGTCTACAATGTTTAATGCTTGTGTCAATGAGAATAAGTATCATATATTCCAGCTCATTGATGAAAAAATGTTTCTTGTCTTCTACAGATCAGAGTAAGGGATGACAAGATGCCATTTGCCCACATAGCCATGGCTGTGGAGGTAACTACAAATGCCACTTTTCTGAAGCATAGAGTATTATTTTTGCAGATTTCTGCAGTATTCCACACCATTCTCCTTGTTCGAAAACTGAAATAATTCAAGTTTCTTTTACTGCTTGAAGTTATTCCAGAAGAATCAACTTTGTCAATACTTTCCAGGGAGTTGGCTGGTCTCACCCAGACACAATCCCCCTCATGGTGGCCAACACTGTAAGTACTTGTAACATTATTACTGTAGATGTACTGTTGACTTGAGGTCTGCCTCCCCATTACATAGAATAGATAACCAGAACAACAGCAAAAGGAAAAGATGTTAAGTTAACTACCCTTCTGCGTAACATACCAGCTTTGCAGGCATGCGATGTGGCAGCAGCTGGCTATATTACACTGAACAACCTGTTACACCCAAACCCAAACTGCAGGAGTTGTTTGAAGCTTTCTAGTGATGATGCCCCAACTGTACTTGGTAGCAGTGAGTTCCACTCTACTCATAGGAGATTCAAACTCTACCACTCTACATTCTTGGACAAGTTGTGTCAATCACAAATCAAATGTGTGTAAATCTTTGCTGTACAGTTAATAGGCAGCTGGGACCGTTCTTACGGAGGTGGAAACAACCTGTCCAGTAAGCTGGCCCAGGCCGCTGCTGAGGGGAACCTGTGTCACAGCTTCCAGTCCTTCAACACCTGTTATACAGACACTGGGCTCTGGTGAGACATTTCTACAATTATCCACTAAGCTCTGTACATGTTGGCTTACCCAAAACCTGTTACACAGACACTGGCGTCTAGTGAGATATCTCTACAGATATTTACTAAGTGCCATACATGTTGGCGTACCTAAAACTTGTTACATAGACACTGGCTTCTGGTGAGACATCTCTACAATTATTCACTAAGATCCATACATGTTGGTTTACCTAAAACTTGTTATACAGACACTGGGCTCTGGTGAGACATCTCTACAATTATTCACTAAGCTACGTACATGTTGGCTTACCCAAAACTTGTTACATAGACACTGGCTTCTGGTGAGACATCTCTACAATTATTCACTAAGATCCATACATGTTGGTTTACCTAAAACTTGTTATACAGACACTGGGCTCTGGTGAGGCATCTCTACACTTATTCACTAAGATCCATACATGTTGGCTTACCCAAAACCTGTCACACAGACACTGGGCTCTGGTGAGATACATGTATCTCTAGAAATATTCACTAAGTTCCATTGATACATTGTACATGTTGGTTTATAAGATAGACAACTACAGTTTCTTTCTGCAAAGTTATAGTCAACTTCCCTTGTTTTAGATGTGCAACAACATATCTTACTCTTAGATCACCAAATTAACTTCTCTTCCAGCCAATGATGTTTCAGAGGTTGTATTTTAGGTTAGCGTTATTGTCAAAGGAAAGTACCATCTTACAACCAGAATAGCATTGTCCATGTAACATGTAGAAATGAGCATTCAGTACACGCCTAATTATTTCTCTAAGCATGTCTTTCACTGATTTGTACCTTACAGGGGCATCTACTTCGTGTGTGACGGCATGACCATTGAGGATATGACGTACTATGTCCAGGGAGAATGGTAAGTATGGAATAAGATTGCCACCTCTTCTAATGGAAACTGTAGGAGACTGACAATCATAAAGACTTTTATTGAGATATTTATACTTTCCATCCATTGTAGGATGTAATTTAGTTGTGTATATCCCCATGATCATGAAATACAATTCCAATACATTCAGGCTTTTGGGGTGAATGAAAAATAAACAATTTATATCAAGAATACACTGTTACACAAATAGTGCTTACGATTAGTTTTTTTGTTACAACTTATTTTGTGTTTTGCATTCCCATAAACTGCCTAGGTTGGGTTGTGGTGTTTACATAATGAGGGCATAATTCAGATATGCCCGCAAGTCCCCTTTTTTTTAAATAATAAAATCTCCATGTCCGTGACTGGATGAGCATGCCACTGTCAGAGTGTTCTCACAGGGCCAGGGACAGGAGGGAGTGGAAGAGCCTGATACTGGATGCCACCATAGTCCCCGACCCTCAGACATGAGGATGGGACTAGGTAAAGGTAAGGTGAAATCTCTGATTTGTTGTTGCCTGTGTTCCCCAGGATGCGTCTGTGCACGAGTGTGACGGAGGGCGAGGTGCAGCGCGCCAAGAACCTGCTGAAGACCAACATGCTGCTGCAGCTGGACGGATCCACACCCATCTGCGAGGACGTCGGCAGGCAGATGCTCTGCTACGGGCGCAGGATCCCGCTCAACGAGCTGGACGCTCGCATCGACGTACGTAGTCTGCTCATGCTGGTGCCTTATTTTGTGGGGCACATTTCCATCACGTTTCTTTCAGAATTAAAACTGGCAAGAACTTTGTTATTGTGTTAAGAATATTGACATGGTTATCCAGAAACTATGTTGAACTGTCAACAGGCACCCCCCAGGGCACACAATGTGTGGGTATGCATTGGCTTGGAAGATCACAGTTTTTGAATGTTTTTTATGCTATGTTGCAATTTCTCTCCCTGAATATTGTTACACAGTATAGGAACATCTAAGAAGTATCTTTGAAAAACAGGACACAGTAATGCTGTCTAGTTCTTGTATACATGTATTACATTTATTTCATTATTCTTGAAGGAAAATTTTATTTTGGTCATTAGGGAACAAGTTATGGTGAGGTTTGAGATGCAGCTGATAAGCAATGGTTTACATTATTGTCTTCTCTTTTCCTATACAGAGCATTACAGCTGGCACCATCCGTGATGTCTGCACCAAGTACATCTACGACAAATGCCCTGCAGTAGCAGCAGTTGGTAAATACTCCCTCATTCCCTCATAGATTTTGCTTTCCCTTATCTCAAAGATCTATACATTAATGTAAATCTTGCAATATACATCTACAAGTTACTGTAAATCTTGAAATGTACATTGAACCTAAAACACACATGAAAACCTGCAGCGAAACAAAGTCCCTACAGAAATAATTGACGGTATCTCAATCACTTTGGTTCATAAAACATATTTAACCCCTTCATTATAACCTGCATCAAAGAACCTACTATACTAGAGAGGTTTTTGCCAGTGTTTATTTAGAGATCATACCCAGGCCAAAGTCTTGTTGCCTCCTAATCAGGGGTGTCAGAGTATACAGTGCAATTTTACGGAATACAGTGCAATTTTACGTAATACAGTACAAGTAAAATTGCACTGTATACTAGTAAAATTGCACTAATATGATTGTGTTGTATTACACAAAATTGCACTGTATACTAATACTGTTGTACTGTATTCCGTAAAATTGCACTGTATACTCTGGCACCCCTGCTAATTCCACCCTCGTTCCCCCCAGGTCCTGTGGAGCAGCTTCCTGACTACAACCGGCTACGAGGAGGCATGTACTGGCTGCGGTGGTAACAACACACATCGCCTGCCCGGGGAGAGATCAGATTATCCAATAGTATTATCTGTCATTGTTCAAGAAATTTGTCTATGAAATGTCCACTCCAAGTTTGAAGTCTAAATCCTACACCCCATGTAGTGACATCTGCAGAATTTAATAGTTTCGACCATCAAATCTTACATCCTTATAAGCAGTTTTTTCTGTACCTAGCTCAAGTCTTAAATTGTATTACAGTATGGTCAAAGAACTTCACAATACTATGATGCTCGTCTAAAAAGCCATGCTAAACTGTAAAATGTAGGAACAGGTATTCATAAAGGATGTATCACTGAGAATTGAAGTCCCCAACCGTGTTGGTAGAAGTGATGTCTGGAAAACTTATCCTTCATTTTGCAGTGAATTATATATTGGAGATACTTTCCTTAGTTGCTTGGTATCTGAACATACTGTTGTCCATATCAGATTTGTTACGTCTGCTGATGCCACTTGAACTGGAAATAAAAGTTTTATCACTTAACTGCTGTGTCTTTTCTCCATGGTTCACAGTGTGTGTGTGTTTGTGTGTGTGTGTGTACGTGTGTGTGTGTTTGTGTGTGTGTGTGTGTGTGTGTGTGTGTGTGTGTGTGTGTGTGTGTGTGTGTGCAAAGTTTACTAGAGGACTGACTTAGCTTTGCTCAGAAGCAGATATACATGTATATACAGGTCACACCCCTGACAAAATTGTGTTGAATAAACATGTTTGCTTATTCATAGCTTATACGAAAGTTTTAGCATGCTCTGAAGGTCCAAAATACATGTTACAAATATCGATAAGAAGTAGTTTTAGAGGATTTGGAAAACCTTGATAGCAAAATCAGCACCAAGGTCAGGGATGACTTGCTGACAACCAGTAGCAGATCGTGGGGAGCGGACGGAAGCTAAAATGGCTGACACTCAGACTAGAAACTTCATTCAGTCAAGGAAGAAATCTTGAGAAAGAGAACTTAGAGTCTATATACAATTCTAGCCTTGGTAACTAATGTCTATCTTCGGTCTGTGACTTTCAGTAGTGTAACATTAGTATTTATGTGAAAAACACATGACAGAAACATCCATTCGTCAGTGAAAGAAAATCTGCTGGATATTTACATAACACACCAGCTTTATAATAATTTACTTCATTGAACCAAGGTGGTTATATACATAACGTTAACGTTACAGCCTACAACCATTGAAATTGAACAACCTGTCACACCTAATTTTTGCATTTGTACGTATCCCAAAGCTCAGCAATCACCATTTTACAGTGAAAGTATACGACTAAATTTTGATATAGAATCACTTGAATCGACATATATATTTACATGTTATTGCATCGCAAGTATAGTAAACTGAAACGCCGTATGACGTGCAGTTTCATTAGAACCCGCTAGGCGGCTAAAGATCCTTGGGGAAACCCCTTGGAACCTCGCGTGGAGTATCCTGGGATATCTTTTAGCTCTCTTGCTAGCGCACCGGTTCCAACGTGAGAGTTTTCCTCGTCAAAACCAGGCAGAAACGACTTGACAGCGAAAATATAGACACCACAGAGGACTCGAGACCAGGGATGGCAAATCAAGCTGAAGAACCGTACGTAACTGTTTTTAAAACTTATGTTGTACGTAGCGAAACATTCCAAACGTTCGGTGCCCCCCTCCCCTATAATTGGAACATCGAATATTTTGTTCATGGTCATCATGACTGATACACAAAATTATGTGCAATTTTATTCAACTGTTGTGTCGCATGTGATTACTACATTAAACTAACGCGTCTTCACATCAATCTAACGTTTATATATGATAAATTTTCGCATGTTATTTGTTGTTTCGTCTCGTTTTGCTCCCAAAGTTTATTATCTTTTTGCACCTCAACAATGACAACATAATTTTGCATGGTGGATGGGCATGTGGGCAGCCCTGGTGATAGCTGTACAGTTCTTGGTACATGCAACTGTACAGTTTGTTGTACAAGCTCACCTATGCATCTGTACGATTTGGCATGCATGCTCACCTGTACAGTTTATTGTACCTGCTTGTGTTATCATGTGTAGGATGATGGTAGATGGGCATGTGGACAGCCCAGGTGACACATGAAACCGTTCTGGTTACAAGCCCACCTGTATGGTTTAGTGTACATGCTCACTTGTAAGAAATATCATACATGTACATGCTACCCTGTACCTGTCTTTAGTGTCTTATCATGCACAGGATGATGGTAGATGGACATGTGGACAGTGGCCCAGATGAAAGCTGAAACAGTTCTGGGTACATGCTCATCTGTAAGAAATATACGTGTACATAAGCTGGTGTGTTACGCCGAAGGGCAGTTACAGATATAGATACAGATACAAGCTCACCTGTACATGTACCATGTTATTGTGTGTATGTCTGTAGGATGATGGTAGATGGGCGTGTGGACAGCCCAGGTGGCAGCTGTACAGTTTAGTGTACATGCTCACCTGTATGGTTTAGCGTACCTGCTTACCTGTCAGAAAAACGTGTACGTGCTTACCTACATACATATACCATGTTATCCTGTGTAGGATGATGGTAGATGGGCGTGTGGACAGCCCAGGTGGTTCTGGGTTATAATTATCCGTGTTATAATAACCTGTGTTATAATTATCCTGTATAGGATGATGGTAGACGGGCGTGTGGACAGCCCAGGGGGCAGCTGGCCTGACAGGTGGAATCACGTCAAGAAGCTGCTGGAAAGAGCCGGGCCATTCGCACATCCCGACTTCGAACCTAGTCCTGAGGTAACACATCGTTTATTTGTTTGTTTGGTTGGTTGGTTGGTTGACTAGGTACTTAAGCGTACTCTTGAGTAACACACCAAATTTGTACAGTAACTTTAGTACAAGCTGCATAGGGCTAGACTTTTTACTTAGGTTTGATCCACTCACAAGATGTTGATCAGAGTGACTGGCCTCCCTGATGAAAGGCGGGTTCAGAGTTTGTTAGCTAATTAAATGATTTTACCTCTCAGCCAAATTCTCCCTAAGGACTAACCTTAAATGTTACATAATCTTTATTGAAAATTTTAGAACAGTACTACACTGTTAATGAACCTTGTGATACAATAAATTTATGACTGAATGTGTGTTTCCCTCTCCAGACTATCCAGTTCATGCTGGAGGTGTGTAAGATTCTCTGCATTGGAGCAGGAGGGCTGGGCTGTGAGCTGCTGAAAGACCTGGTAAGATATACACTATTACAGTATCTTCACAACAAGATCTGGAGAACGATGTAGCCAATAGATTATTAGATAACCAAAGAACATGTAGAATTAAACAATGTCTAGAGTTAGATGTTCAAGGGTTAGGTGTAACAAGTTGATTGGTGTAATGTAGCCAGCTGCCGCCGCGCCGCGTGCCTGCAAAGCTGGTCTGTTACGCCGAAGGGCCGTTATACTGGCTTTACAGATACAGATACAGATATATGATACATGTATAACAAAGTACATTTCTTTCAAAACACATGTACCCATTGTCAACCATGTACCCATTGTCAACCATGTACCCATTGTCAACCATGCTTCCATCATGTAACCTGTATCTTGTTCTTTGTTGTCTGACCCTGACCTCTTCCCATCATGTGACCTCAACAGCAGCCAGCAGGCCAATTGAGTATTTTTCATGAATAAACAAAGGCTCAAACAAACAAACAAACAAACTGTGTTGCAGGCCCTGATGGGTTTCCGTAACATCCATGTGATTGACATGGACAAGATCGACGTCTCCAACCTCAACAGACAGTTCCTCTTCAGGTTAGTTAATCTTCTCACTGCTTCTCCAGTTTTCTGAAAAAAAGAGCCTTTGTGAGGAAAAGGCAACTCTTTGGCTCACTTTTTGTCATCTTGTTCTGAATCAAAACTTAAAAGTTGGTGTTTTTTTCAGTTTTTTTTTAAGTAGTCTGTATATGTAAGTTGTTATAATTCAAATATACAAAGTTAAGTCATCTATCATTGTATGAAATGCACGAAGTGTGCTTATGCATAACTTTAATGCATATATGAATAAAGTATGAAGGTTAAGAATTGTCAACTTGTAATATGCATTCGTGCAGTCTGATTTATAAGGAATATTTGTGCAGCTGCTATGCCAAAATAAGTGTTATTTTCCAACATTGGAGAGATGACATATTCTCCATAGTTGCTGAAAAAAGGACTCATTATACCGGGTAATTGTTTTGTTGCAAATTCGTGCCTGAGGGCTAATTGCAGGAACAGAAGAAACATTTGGTATAAAAACAGACAATTAGTACACATAGAACTACTGATAATTCCTAAGAAACTACTAGTAAAAAACTACTGGGTTTGACTTCTTTTATAATATTATTATGATGATACCTGATGTCTGTTTTCCCTACAGACCGAAGGATGTTGGGAAGCCCAAGGCTGAGACTGCAGCAGAGTTTGTCAACACCAGAGTCCCGGGATGCAGAGTTACACCGTATCCATTTGGACATGACATATATAGATCAGGGGTTCTTCCAAATAGTGCTATCTTACCTTTGGGATACCAGTACTGTGACAAGCAACCAATATTTTCCATGTACTATTTACATGGACAGCTTCTATATCCACCTACATACATGTAGGTCAATATCTTTGTACTTCATTCCAAAAGGAATATTGTTAGTGATAATATTTTGTAGTTATAAATGTAGGATAGATTAATCTGTAAATGTAGTAGGATTTGGAAACTTTGGGCTTGACAGGAAGATGGGGAGGAAATGTTTTGCAGCTGCTTGCAAATGATGGTTTTCTACTGTTACATACATTTTTTCGTTGTTGGCCTTAACTTTCAATCCAACCAGACACTATGCAAAAATTCAAGATTTTGATGGAGAATTCTACAGACGTGAGTTTGAACTGTTGCTTACTTTTGCTTTATTATGTTTACCTCTGTGATGGTGAGCTATCTACACAACACCTTTTGTCATTTTTGTTTGAAAAGTATTGAATAGTATTGATTTAAGTATTCTAGAAGGTCATTTGTAACTATACACATACCACAGACACAGTTTCAAGCACATGGTTTATGTATTAAGTCCAAGATCAGTCAATATAAAAAATCTATATTGTGTTTTTTCAATCATGTTTTGTAGAATTCCATATCATAGTGTGCGGGTTGGACTCGATTCTAGCACGGCGATGGATGAATGGAATGGTGGTAAGTCACAACTCTCCTTTGTAATGAATAGAATATTTGGTAAAGGTAGTCCCATAGCCTTTTTCAGGCTGTAGGGGCAGTGGGCTGTTGATTCACTGTGTCTAGAGCATGTCTAGAGCACGTCTAGAGCACGTCTAGAGCACGTCTTGGAAGGCTGAGCCCATCCCTCTCCTTCCACTGCCTGGTAATGTGTAATAGTGGTATCATTCTGTAGGGTAGCATGAAAGTTCATCTGTGTTGGTACAAGTCATTATGAAATACAGACTAAACTTTAACTACCAACACTACAATGAATTGGGACTTTCCCGGTACCCCAAATTTGAAGAAGTCAGCCAAAAATTTGGGGTAAGTCCCAATTCATTGCAGTGTTGGCAGTTAAAGTTTAGTCTTTATGTCATAATTCTGTAGGGTATTTGCACTTGATATTGCAGCTGCCATGTAGGTTATATGAGCCCAGAAGAGTCAGACATATATATTTGCTATTACATGACTGATACTAGCTATACAGTCAAAACTCAAAAGATGACTACCAGGGGGACCAATAGCATCCAGTCTATGTGGACAGGTGGTCACTATGGACAGGATTCTTGATGCTTGTGTCAATGGGAAAATTATGTAAGAGACCACCAAAAACTGGTCCTTGATATGTAGAGGTGGCCGCTTGTACAGGTTTGACTACAATACAAGTTCATTTATCAGGCAACTTCCAGGTTTAAGCACGCAGCATGGGAAGCAATGCTTACAGCATAGTTACATGAAAGCAGACGCCCTGTACTGTCCAAATGGCAAAGTACTCCCCTTAATCACTGACTCAGACATCATGCGAACACCAATTATTTTTGCTGCAGGATTTTTCCATTTAGATATGCCATCCATCAGAACTTCTTGGATTCCAGCCACTTGGCTGGCCATAGTGCATGCAGTTTTTGTGAAAGTTGCTAGGAGGCACTTCTAATCAGATAAAGCATTTTGATCACTGCTGCTCACTCTCACTCACCCGTAGGAACAGGTTAATTTTGAGCCTTCAGTAATTAGAAAAAAAGGTCAGTTCTTGTGACTTTTTGATGACAAACTTCCCTGTTACGAATACATAGACTGCAGCTAAGCCTATGAAGAACAAGGGTCTCTGCACTCCCCCCTTTACTCCGTGCATAAAAGCAACCAATATTGTTATTGGTTAGTTGCCGTTTTTTCTTTAGTACCATTGTCATTATCATTATTTATTGTATCTTAATTTTATTGTCTGTGCGTCACTTTATGTATTTTGTTTATCTGTGTAATACTGGGCCCCACTGAAAAGCAGTGTCATCACTGAGTGGGAAACCCTGTATAAATACATGTATGATGGAAAATGAATAAAAAAAGTGTGTTTGTGTGTCCACACACAGTTAAGCCTGATAAACTATGAGGAGGACGGCTCTGTGGACCAGTCGTCCATCATCCCCCTTATAGACGGGGGCACAGAGGGCTTCAAGGGAAACGCTCGAGTCATCCTGCCTGGCATCACCGCATGTATGGACTGTACACTGGAGCTGTACCCTCCACAGGTACGTGGGGCACAAGCAATGGAAGACACTACTGGAGATCTAAATAAACCAATAGATGGATAGATAGAGGAAGAAAGGAATGAAGAGATGAAGGCATGACAATTTATGGACTGTACACTGGAGCTTTATCCAGTGGAGAGAGGGAGTGTATGGATAGATAGATGAGTTACGTATGAAGGAAGAAAGGAATGAAGAGATGGGAAGGAGGGAGTGGATGGATGGATGGATGGATGGATGGATGGATGGATGGATGGATGGATGGATGGATGGATGGATGGATGAATGAAGAGATAAAGGAATGGCTGAGTGAATGTATGGACTGTACACTGGAGCTGTACCCTCCACAGGTAAGGCACAAGCAATGGAAGACACTCCTGGAGGTCTAAATAAACCAATAGATGGATAGATGAGTAGATAAAGGAAGAAGGAATGAAGAGATGAAGGAATGACAATGTATGGACTGTACACTGGCGCTGTATCCTCCACAGGTAGAGCACAAGCAAGTTACTGGAGATCTAACTAAACCAAACAGCTGGAGAGAGGGAGTGAATACATGCATGTAGAAATAACTGATGAATAGATGAAGGAAGGAAGTAAAGAAGGAATGGCTGAGTGAATGTATGAACTGTACACTGGAGCTGTATCCTCCACAGGTAGGAGGAAGGGAGGGGATGAGTGGATGGATAGATGGATCCACAGGTAGGGCACAAGCAAGTTTAACCTTTAGCACCCTGGAATAGACATTTCCCAACAATTCTCTGTGGCTGAAAAGGGATGTACATGTAACATATGTCATAAGAATGATACCAGCTTGTGATATTTATTTATGGAGTATACTGTTAATCTGTCCAACATAATCTGCGATGCTAACTACCTTGCCTACATGTATGTGTTGATTAGGTGACCTACCCCATGTGTACCATAGCCCACACACCTCGCCTGCCTGAACACTGTATAGAGTGGGTCAGGATACTCCTGTGGCCACAGGAGAAACCGTTTGGAGGTAAGGGTTTGGAGTCAACTACTTTGGTTTTATGTTTAGAGTTAAAACTTAAGATCCAAAAAGTTCTCTCACCTAGAGCTTTTGACCAGTCACTCTGGTCTTCCTCAGTAGACTGACCCAGTGAGGCTTGTCACATGGCTTCTTTGAAGTGTGATGTCAACACTGGGTCAAAGGTAGCCTCACTGGGTCAGTCTACTGAGGAAGACCAGAGTGACTGGTCGAAAGCTCTAGGTGAGAGAACTTTTTGTGATCTTTCATGCTAGTACTTTGGTTTTACTGTTTCAGTATTAGCCTATGGTAGTTAAATCTCCTTCTGTTACATTACATTCCCATCTTTCTTGCTGTCTTTCCATGATTTTGTATTCCGTAGTACTTGTCACTTGTAATTCTCTCTACCCCTTCATTCTTTGCTTCATTTCTCTGTCTCATTCTATTCTGCACCAATCAGTTTTGTTTCCTTTCAATGGAAATGTGCAAGCCATGTTTTAACTGTACGTATGTTTGTTTTGTTTTGTTTGTTTGTTTGTTTTCATCCTGGTGCTCAGAAAACGGTAAGCCACAGGAAAAAACTGGTGCATTTATAATCTCCTCCCTGCTAATGCTGTATCATAATAGCCTGCAGTCCAGCTTTGTTAGCTTTATGGTCTGCTCTAGAGCTGTGTACCGGTACGCAGTACCGATACTGTACCGGTAAAATTGATTAGGTACAGGTCCAAAATACCTAATCCCTCTGTACCGGTACTGTACCTAAACAATTTCACACCAATTTTATGCCTATTTGTGACCTCAAATGTGTAAATAGCTGGTTAACAATGGGTCCCTGTGTAAGGACAGTGTGTTCATGAAAACAAAAACATATATATAGCCTATATTTTATCTGAACATTCGCCATAAACAAAGAATAAACCTTAACTATCTAGTTTATTTATGTTTTTTTTTGTTATTGAAGGAGTTCAGAAGAGCATATAAATTGGTCGAATTGTTCAGATACAGGTTCAGGTCCGGACCTGTACCTAAACCTGTGTACCTGTACCTGTACCTGTACCTAAAATTTGTTTAGGTACACAGCTCTAGTCTGCTCCCAAACATCCGCTACGCCGCCAACAACCCCTTTTGCTGATGGAAAACTTGGCTTGTTTTGTAACGTAGGCTGGTTCTAGCTATTTATGGGCAGCACCCAAAAAATAAAGAGACACCTCAAGTATGAAATGGTGCCGAAAATGTGCTAAGAGATGGCAGTACCAGGCAGATTTTCTCACCCAGAATATTTTTTGTTTTGTCACCCTGAAATTGCATTGGATGCCTTTAATGTGCTGATGTTATTTGTGGATTAACTGCCTTTCCATGTTTGCTGTCTGTAGAGGAGGTTGGGATAGATGGAGATGATCCTGCGCACATCAAGTGGATCTATGACCGAGCGTTGGAACGGGCAGAAAAGTATGGAATATCTGGGGTCACCTACAGACTTACACAAGGTAGAAATAAGCCTTTTTTATTATTATTTAGACATTAGAAGTTCTTATTTTTTACAGTTGCCCGTTTATGAATGTGAAAAATCTGCAGGCTATCTTTAATCATTCTTATGTCAGACTGTGAATTCTAACATTTCATAAGATAATACTTTTAGGTAATAGTAGGTTGCTTGTATCGAATATACCTGTAGCATAAAGGAAGCTGATGATTTTTTGGCCATTCTTCACTTTGAAACTATCAAAGATTAATATTTGTCTCACTAACTAGCAAGTATACCAGTACCATTTGGTTGTACATGTAAGTGGCATACACAATCAATGAGTTCATGTTTAATTGAAACATTCATTTTGATACATAAGACCACAGATCAGTTGGATGTTGTCATGCAATAGCTGTATCACACACTAGCTTAGTTCCAGTAATCCCTAACCAAGAAATGAATTTGTAATTCATAGTTTTGGTAGAATCATAATTAGCCTGGGTGCCAGACCCATAGCACACTAGGCCTTAAGTTATCCTGTGTCTGTATCTGTATAGCCAGTATAACCGCCCTTTGGAGTAACACACTAGCTTCGCGGGCACGCGGCGCGGCAGCAGCTGGCTACATTACACCGATCGACTTGTTACACCTAACCCTTGAACTTCTAACTCTAGATATTGTTTAAAACTATCTATTGACAATGCCCCTACTGTACTTGGTGACAGCGAGTTCCACTCTGGGTCTGGCACCCAGCATAAATCATAATGTAATATTTTTATGATGAATGATTTTTTTTCTTTTCCAGGAGTTGTGAAGCACATCATCCCAGCAGTGGCTTCAACGAATGCCGTCATTGCAGGTTGGACTTGATGGAATAGATTAGTCTCCTGGGGAATTGTAATGATGAGCCATAAATAATGCATAGATAAAAGCACTGTGAAAAATTAACCCACAAAACGCACAGGAGCATTTTAAAACTTCCATAACACAGCAGAGCAATCATTTAAGACATATTGACGACGTCACAAATGATTGAACATTGATGAGTGTTAGTGACATTTTTAGACAGGAGGTCAACATGTTTTGTTCTGTTTCAATCTACACTTTTTCTGCTCTTTTCTTCATAGCTGCCTGTGCCACTGAAGTCTTCAAAATTGCAACAAGGTAAGGGTTAGCGCAAGTGTCAGGTTGTTAAAGTTGGGATTTTATTGTACTTGCAATGACAGGTGTTGTATTGCCACATGTACTCACTCATTCTGTCCGTTTTTCAGTTGCTGCACTCCTCTGAACAACTACATGGTTTTCAATGACACAGAGGGCCTGTACACTTATACATTTGAGGCAGAAAAAAAGGTGAGCATAGTCCATCTAGACTTTTAACACTGTGCAAGTAAGAGGCAGTACATTTCTTGTGTAGGCTATGCTGTGCCCTAGTTGGTACATTACGATAGTGCAGCTGCTTTTATCAAAAACTGAACATTATAAATTTCACTGCACAATTTTACAAGGTAGGACATATGTCATCTACTGGTACATTGTAACATCTGTGTCCATAATATCACCAGGATCCATAATATCGCCACCTTGAGAAATAGTGTGCTTAAAGATATTTTTACTGCAACATACCCTAGGTATGTACATTTGATGTGTGAAGGAGTGCATTCCAAAAGTATGTTGCAGTAAAAATATCTGCTTTAAGCACACTATTTCTCAAGGTGGCGATATCGTGGACCCTGGTGATATTATGGACACAGATGTTAGTAAATATTTGGGACATAACAAAGTGACATTTGTCTTCTATTAGTTCTGGACAAAATTGACAAACCCTTTATATAGGTCCACTGTCCACATGTATTTTCTGGAAACTCACAACTGCCCCCCTCCCCCCTTCAGGACGACTGTCTTGCCTGTAGCCAGGTCCCCCAGAAGTTCACCTTTGCCCCCTCAGACAAGCTGAAGGACGTCATCCAGTACCTGTGTGACAGCGCAGCAACGTAAGTGTCATGGGCTGCCATTGGCTGTCACTATCAGTATCATGGGCTGCCATTGGCTGTATGTATGATGGGCTGCCATTGGCTGTATCTGCCATTGGCTGTATGTATGATGGGCTGCCATTGGCTGTATCTGCCACTGGCTGTATGTATGATGGGCTGTCATTGGCTGTATCTGCCATTGGCTGTATGTTATGATGGGCTGCCATTGGCTGTATCTGCCATTGGCTGTATATATATATGTCATGGGCTGCCATTGGCTGTATCTGCCATTGGCTGTATGTATGATGGGCTGCCATTGGCTGTATGTGTTATGTCATGGGTTGCCATTGGTTGTGTCATGGGCTGCCAATGGCTATAAGTGTCATGGGCTGCCATTGGCTGTAAGTGTCATGGGCTGCCATTGGCTGTTAGTGTCATTAGCTGCCATTGGCTGCCATTGGCTGTAAGTGTCATTATTATGGTTTGCCATTGGCTCTATGTGTCATGGGTTGCCATTGGCTGGGATGAGTCTATATCATGGAATGCCATTGGGAAGTAGTGTCGTGGCTGCCATTGGCTGTTAGTGTCATTATTATGGTTTGCCATTGGCTCTATGTGTCATGGGTTGCCATTGGCTGGGATGAGTCTATATCATGGAATGCCATTGGGAAGTAGTGTCGTGGCTGCCATTGGCTGAAAGTTTCGAGAAATGCCATTGGCTGTCCAATCTTGGTCAGATTTGTTATAGGTCATTGTTCAATTTTGATGCCGATGAATTTCAAGCAAACTGTGACAGAACCAATCGCCAAGAAAGACCTAAGACAGACTTTTTGGAACAAGACAGCTGAGTTTGGCAGGATACCTGCATGGCTATCCCAAGAATGCCCTGAGTTTGAGATTGTACGACAATGTAATGTGATTGGGCTCTTTTACTGATACATGCACAGCTAACCCAAGAATGCCCTGAGTTTGCAATCGTACAAAAATGTGTGTGATTGGGCCCTTACTATAAGTGTGTTTGAGCCACAGGCCATGACTTTTATGAAGAATTTTCAACCATTGCAATGCAGGACAATACCCTGGCGACCCCCTCTCAGCCTCATTCCCCTATAACACAGATTTACAAGCATATAAATCCTTTGTTGGAGCTGAGCTTACATGGCTCAGGTCTGAACCCTGTCTGTCCTCATCAGTTCAGCATTGCCGAAGACAGCCCATAACAGCGGTAAAGCTGTAGCTACATCTGGCCCCATCATTTCATTTGTGCACCCTCTCCGTGTACTTAGTGCCGCTGTGCCTGTTCCATTTTGGGCACTCAGACGTTTGTTTTACAAACGACGTCCCCAAACTCAATGATTCCGCCCCGGTTAATCTCTCCATTCCTCCAAATCTGCCCACCTCTTGGGTCATTTAATTTTTCCTGGGGAAAATGACGTCTCCCTGTATTAGATTTGGGTCTGCAGAAGACGGCATTCGTAACAATTAATTCTGTCTGGTCCTGGTAACGTTGCCACCGGAATGAATGAAAACCACGACTTCCTTGACATTCCAGGCAGATGAAGGCGCCGGGAGTCACCGCGATTGTTGACGGGAGGAACAAGACACTGTACATGCAGGTAAGACCTGGCTAATCCTAGCCTCCGTAGCAGGCTTATAGTAGGGCCTGCAAGGGGGGGTAGTGATTACGAATTACGCAAAATTTTTGCCGCCTATTACGAATTACGTTAAAGTTTCAGAGCTGATTACGACTTTACGATTTGCGGCTATTGTCCAATTACGAATTACGTTGATTTTTGCGGAGGCTGCCTACGAATTACGAAGTCTAAAACGGCCTGATTATGCCTTACGAAAAAGGGCTTGCAGGCCCTCTTATAGAACTGGGGGTTTGGTGGTCTTCGACTGCTTTCTGATTATCCCAGTTCTAAGGGGGTAATTCAACCAGGCCGGCTATGTTGTCTATATGCAATCAGAAAATAGCACATAAAAGACCCCGAAGACCCCCAAACCCCCAGTTTTTGGCATGCTATGGAAGCTAGCTTATCCTCCCAACACTGGTGGTCATTCCTCCCGGTAAAACTGCCCTGTCCCAAGGTGACACCGCTCATCCCTGGCATCAGAAAATTCCATTTTACAGCGGAGATGTTCTTGAATATTTTAAGCAAACTAAATGTCATCTCTGCGGTAGACGGCATGCTTCAGTTCACCCCATAAAGGCCCAGACACCGTCGTTAACACCCTGCCCTGTGTTTTAATGTCTCGCAGGCGGTCGAGTCAATAGAGAAGAGGACGCGCGATAACTTAACCAAAACGTTAGGAGGTAAGAATTCTCACTTTTATGGTCGTCTGTCAGAGCACCTTTTCCTTAGTGTAATTGGACAACGATTTTTCAAAAGATTATTGGTTTTTGTCATGAAAATAATATAATCTTGAGATTCAACTTGCTGTACATGTACCACTCATAATATAATATGTCTCCATATATTCTTTATGTTATTTTAACAAGATGTCATACATTCTTTGAATTATGTGGTCAAGGTTCAATGTTTGTCTTAAGTTGCAGAAGTTGCTTACAAACTATCTTGAGATCCAATGCTTTGAGAAAGCCCTCCCCTCATATTTCCACATACATTGTACATGTATATCCTTAGGCAATATTTTAACTTTAAGTTGTCTTATTACATGTTTAGACTGTTAAGACTGAATGTTTTTCTTCCATTGCAGAGCTGGGTCTTGTAGACGGACAGGAACTTGTCGTAGCTGACAGTACCACGCCCCAGTCTGTCATCTTCAAGCTTCACTTCTCCCAGTAGACAAGTACACATACAGCTCAAGCCATATTTGTACTCCCTCTACCCAAACTGCATTTAGATATCATTATGAAGCTAAGCAAGTTTAAACTGCAATTTCCAACACACCGAAGCTGGTGTGTTACGCCGAAAGGCGGTTATACCGGCTATACAGATACAGATACAGAACAAATTGGACTCACCCAAATTTTCGACTGTACAACTCCAGTCTTTGTCAAGGAATTTGGATGAGTCCAATTTGTTGTGTTGGAAATTGCAGTTTAAACTTGCTTCATAATGATTTCTACCAACACAGATGAACTTTCAAGATACATGTAGGTATTATGTCTTCGTTGACATGAATAAAGAAGTACTGAAGCCCTGAACACTTTAAAAACCAGAAGTACACACCGGTGGTGTTGAATGGCCAAGTGTCAAGCAGACAAGATCAAGAGGTCCTGAGTTCGATACCTGGTACTCCTTGATAGACACTACACTGTGTCCTTGGGAAAGGCACTTCACACAACTTTCCTAACATCAACCCTGGTGTAAAATGGATACCAGACTTCGATTGGGGAGGGAAAGACAGTGTAAGAAAAGAGTTGGACTTCGACATCCAATACTGTGCCCAAGACACAGTAGGTGAACAAGCATACATGTACAGCCCCTACAGCCTCAAAAAGGTGATGAGACTACATTTACCTTTTACACACTAGCCTCCCACAATGTCTTACCAATGCCAAGACATTATTCTCTCCTTAAACTTACTTGCTTATAGCACGGAGGTAGAAAAACAGCTCCATGCTTATAGGATATTACAGTTAAACGTTTAGAAGAGACCTTTATATGATAATGTTCCTCTACGTTGATGATTTCTATGATTGTACTTACAACATTGTATAATAAATTTTTCTTATTGAAGACTTTTGCTCTGTTGCCATGACGATGTAACTGTGTTATCTATGATGGTGCATTCATTCCATCTCGGGACAAAGACATAACCCGTTCCGGAAATTTGATTAACAAATATTAATCCAATCATGCAGCATCAGATAAAGGAATTATGAGCGATCCACGTGCACGCTTTTGTGGAAATGGGGTCAGAAAAATTCCTGTCTGGTTAAAGATTCCTTTAGGCCACACCAATTTGATTTGTTGGTTCTTGGATCTGATGAAAAATGATGAACTGGGGTATAAGGATGAAAACAGCCTCAGAGAAAGTCTTTACATTGATACACCGTTTCAAAGAGTAACTATAGTTACTTCAAGTTTTTCTCCCAGCTCTCTGTTTTTTTAAACTTCAACTTTATTTGTTCAATCAAGAAAAAAAACTTTGCAGAAGTAACACGTTGGTTACCTTCTGAATGTTGGTTCTACAAATTAAAAGTAAGATAATATAATCACACAGTAATATATAATAATGGACGAAACATGCACACTGACTAGAGCTGTGTACCGGTACGCAGTACCGATACTGTACCGGAAAAATTGATTAGGTACAGGTCCAAAATACCTAATCCCTCAGTACCGGTACTGTACCTAAACAATTTCACACTAATTTTATGCCTATTTGTGACCTCAAATGTGTAAATAGCTGGTCCACAATGGGTCCCTGTGTAAGGACAGTGTGTTCATGAAAACAAAAACAACTTAGTTTTGCCTATATTTCATCTGAGCATTCGCCATAAACAAAGAATAAACCTTAACTATCAAGTTTATTTATGTTTTTTTTTGTTATTGAAGGAGTTCAGAAGAGCATATAAATTGGTCGAATTGTTCAGGTACAGGTTCAGGTCCGGACCTGTACCTAAACCTGTGTACCTGTACCTGTACCTAAAATTTGTTTAGGTACACAGCTCTAACACTGACACACAAGACCAATAATGGATCAGTCTGAATTTTGGTGTTGTACAGGAAAGAATTCAGCAGTCTACTAGACATGTATGATACTAAGGTATTACTTTATAATGTCTTTCCTACAACAACACAAAGTCACAGTTGCATTACATTTACACCAGGAGTCAAGTCAAGGTTATCCGCAAGGTTTGCAACAAAACAGGCGGGTTAATGCAATATTGACCCAATCATCATTTATGGGATTTGTAAACCTACGTGTAAAAGAGTGATATTTCCTTTCTGACCTGTGGGTAATAATTAATGTCACAAATATAACGTTTTATGGTTATCCGTTGAAGCGAAGTTTGAACATAACTTTTATGTTCGTTTCCCAAGAGGGACATGACGACATTCCACATACACAATGTTGGAAGGATTCCTCTGTTTCCAAGCCCCCCCCCATCTATATTGCTATAAATTATATTTCTATGGGATAGAGAAAATGCCTGGTGGCAACTAACAATGTGGTGCACATATCATGTATTTGAAAAAGAGTTAAATGTTGGTGTACATTATTATTTTCTTGGTCAATGGTCCTTGAAGTATTTCTTTTCATGTTACACAACTTGAAAATATATATTTTTTTTAATCGTCGGTTGGCAATCTCTGCGTACTTCGGAAAGTGGTATTTTCTTGTTTTCGCCTATATTTTATATGTCTCTCCACATACGTCAAACATGCACAACATTTGTGCTTTGGAGAAGCGACAGATAAGAGAGAGCTTCTACACTGATCCAGAAAAGTTGGTAACCCGTTAAAGTCTCAAATTAAACTTTCCCAATACGTCAGGCAATCAAACAGTTTCTCCTTGGTGCTGAAACGCCCTCCGTCGGTGAACAGAGTAAGGATAAGTTCTCTGACTGCGTTAAACTATGAATTTATTACTTTCCAATGCCGATCTATTATTCTGTGTTGGGTTTCTGTGTAGTAGGTAATAAGGCGCAATTTGAATGCTCTTCTGAACTGTGGTATTGTTTCTTTTACGTCATTGCGCATCAACCTGCTACGTGTATAAAAATAGCCAGTACATATGTATCTTAGATGTATATTATGTATAGATGTATATTATGTAACATCTGTCAAAAGGTGTAGATAGATAAATTTACCGTGATATAAACGCGCATTGATGTGTGTAGATGTTTAACACTGACCAATCACTCTCTAGTCCACGGTCTGACACAGTTAAGACGTCCCACCGCTAAAAATGATCCCATGACGTCATGCTAATGGGTTCTAGCGGACCTTCCGGCGGCCAATCGAATCCTTCACCGCCACGGTCAAACCGTCGCAGCGGAACGCGCGCGTCTAAATCGATAAAAATGCTTTGAAGGATACAGGTTGGCTTCCGCCGTGTTACCTTTATCTTGCGTCACACACACCGTCACGTTCCGACAGGTCTCACGGGTCTGAAGAAGACTTCCATCACTACTGCTACAGACGATATCTAATACAGAAGAGTACAAGAAATAGCCAAGCCTTCAAATATCAGAGTTATCAACCAAGGATTGAGGTGTTCAAAAAGTCTTTCTTCCTAGAGTAGAGTGGAACTCGCGGTCACCTAGTACAGAAGGGGTATTAGGGCATTAGATACCTTTAAACAATGCCTAGATTTAAATGTTCAAGGGTTAGGTGTAACAAGTCGATCGGTGTGCTGTAACCAGCTGCCGCCGCGCCGCGTGCCTGTGAAGCTTGTTTGTTACGCCGAAAGGTGGTTATACCGGCTATACAGATACATTCTCGCCTTACCGACCCGATGACACACTTCGTTTGCGTTCCCGTGCGGTGATGTGTTCGCGCGGGAACATTAACCTTGTATTACCAACAACTCCGTTTTCCGGAACACTGACTGGCAGCGTGCCTTCCTATCGAAATAACGCCCGCCATTAAAACAGAAATATCGGGAAAGGTCGAGCTATGAATAACGAGGTTTCCGTAAGCAAGGGTTAATATTTCCTATAAGCGCGGGAAATGAGCGCCCCGGGTTCCGCCGTGCCGTTTCCCTTATCTAGATTAGGAACAATCAAACGCTCGTTCCAGTCCAGGACGCGCGGAATTTAGCGCCACGACGGTGACTCCTGCGGGGCATTGGCACATGAAAGATGGTCCAGGGCAGGTCCCCTGGCGTCCGTCACGCCTGTGGTGGGATCCGGCGGCACGGCACGGTTCTGGGAACGACGGGGGGAGCTAGCCTCCATAGCATGCCAAAAAATGGGGGATTGGGGGTCTTCACTGCACTAGCCTGCGTGCCATCCCCAATAGTATTCGCCCGCTCTATAATGTCGCTAACTACAGTTGTAAGCTTAAGCTAGCGAGCGAAAACTACTGGGGATGGCACCCAGGCTATGTCTTCAGGGTCTTTGGGAGTTTTCTTGTGCTATTTTCTGATTGCATATAGACAACATAGCCGGCCTGGTTAGGGAGGCTAGCACGGTTCTGGGAACGACGGGGGGAGCTAGCCTCCATAGCATGCCAAAAACTGGGGTTTAGGGGGTCTTCAGGTAGTCTCTACCAGACTAACTACGCTGACTATATATATAGGAGAATATTTGCCAGGGGAGTTTGGCCGCCTTGTAGGTTTGACTGGCCGCGAAGAAACTACCTCCACGCGGCCGGACTCCCTTGGCCAATTTTACTCTCTTTTTTTCCGAATTCTACGATCCGTATTCCCGTAGAAAGGCCTGGTGGAGGCTAGTCTTCAGGGTTTGAAGGAGCTTTTATGTGATTGCATATAGACAACATAGCCGGCCTGGTTGAATTACCCCCGTTAGAACTGGGCTAATCAGAAAACAGCCGAAGACCACCAAAACCCCAGTTCTATAAGCCTGCTACGGAGGCTAGCGACGCCCCACGCCTCCTGTCTTTACCTTAGTCTCCACCAGACTCCTTTGCAGGCCGAATAAATAGTACAAATCGGCTGAGGGGGATATCATTTACCAGAGGAGTGGGACAGGCATCGATCCCTCAGCCGATTTCTACTATTTGCTAGTATTCAGCCTGCAAAGGAGTCTGGTGGAGACTATCTTTACCTGGCGTCATGTGAACGCCGCGACGCGCGTTATCCACGCAATTTACAGGCGAGGGTTTACTTAAAGCCTCGTGGCGAACCGCGAAACGTCACAAGTCTCGGGCAGTGACGGAGGAGAAACCGCTGCACTAGAGGGTGTCATGACGTCATGTGGCGCTGCTCTTGAATCCATCACTCCAAGTGGAACACCTGTAGATGCTATCCCAACCAAGACCCCGCCCCAATCTCCAATTCCAATGCGGTCTGTAATTCCACACGATCGATATCCGGATTTTTGATCGAATACCGCTCAGGAGTTAACCAGCCATATTAAGAATTTAGTGTCCCCACTTGCCCCATTGATAGTTAAGGGACCACCTGTTCCCAGAATGCATCGGAGCACCTTCACAATAACAATGCCACGCTCCGCGGTCTACAAAAAAAAAAAACGAAACTGGTGGTGGGTTATCGAGGTGTTTTCCTTCGGCGTAGTGTCGGCCCGCCTACCGCAACTTCTTTCCCTGGTGACAAGGTCTAATTGTTCCAGACGGGTACGTCTTACTCCAGCCCGCAGCACAAGGATACCCCGCGTCTGTTACCCTGTGGCATCCATATGGGCCGCCTCATCTTCAAACTCGGTAATCATCCAAACATAAATGGCAATTTTCTCGTTATTGGAGATTGGTTCCGCGCTAGGTATTGATGGATTAATTTGGATGGATTAATTCTCATTTCACGTATGTGGTCCTTTGTCTGACCAAATTGAAAGATCGATACAGAGAAGGTGTCGCCTACTGTGGTAATGCACGGAGGAGCGTGATATTGGGAAATTCGATGCAGACAATCTGTTTGGGTCATACACACGCACACACGTACACACTACAGTACAGTACAGTACAGTACAGTACAGTACAGTACGCACGGCGTACGTGCGCTGCGAGCTAGCTGCCGGGCCGGGCCTGCGTGTACGTATATACGTGTACGTATGTGGAGGAACGTTAACGTCACCCAACAAAAGTGGTGCCACCACCACCACCATGCCACCCCCTCTACCAGCACCACACGCACGGCGCGCCCTCCTCCTGCTGCCATGCCCGGGTTTGGGCCGATGAAGCCGCCGCGGAACTTTCCCGAACAATGGACACTTCAACGTCCAGCCTCGGGACCGTCTCGGAGACAGAATCGTGTCTGACCAGGGATTCGTCGCTGGAAATATCCAGGAGCATCGGTAGGTCAAGCTCTCCCTTCACTACATCGTTTAGCGGCTTGACATACCCCGCTGGAGCTATCGGTCCTCCTCCAGTCGGGGAGACTGGTAGGAAATATACCAGTCAACTGTATGTAAACTGGCATGTTGTGATATTATAGTACGTCTACCAGATTCTAGGTGAAGAGGTTGCTAGTATATGTTGCGGTATTTTTACTGTATGTATGTATGTATGCCTGGCGATTGTAGAAATTAACCACAAATAAAATAATATTTGCATTTGATATCGATCGGCATCAATTAGCTGCGACAAGAGATCGCTTTAGACTTCTCCGGATTGATGCATGATAGTTTCACGCAGGCTGCCGCTGAAGATACGGCTGCTAATTGATTTCTAGAAGACTCTATGACGGGGGGGTAGTTTCGATGCAAATTTGCCTGCAACGATTGTCTTGTACAAAACGTCTTTAAGACGGATACCCCCAGTGTCATTTGCCACCAATCCGTTGGCACTGCCTTCTCGAGTAAGAAACATTAGGGCCTATTAAGGGCTAAGGGCGGAACATCGCCTTTGGAAAAGCCTTTAATGTTCCTTTGCAGCGGCCGAGGAATGCTGTTAGCTGAATGTCTCTTTTTTTTCATCAGTCATTTCTTGGCTGTTTTATCACCCTATATCTGTTGGACCTGAACTCGGGGTGGCCGGTCGTACGCTCGATAATTGGACTCAGCGGCGATGTGATGTGTGGGGAGAGATATAATGTAATACGATATGAAGCGGGCTGCAGCGGTAGGCATTTGTCGGGATTTATGATGACTAATGGCTGTAGGAACATATCGTTCCCGGACCAAGGCATGAAGTGCAAGAAAAGGGCGCTGCCAGGGACATAAAACAAATGTCAGGGCGCCACGCCGCGGAGACGTGATGCAACGGAAACTACACCTTCAACCCGGCGCTATGCAAATTGGCCTCTTTTGCATTCCTCGATGTTCATCGAATCGACATCTGGCGCGGGATATCGGTCGCAATGTTTGACATTGTAATCAACATTTATCGAAAATCGTCAGGTCCCAGGGCTGCCCGCGCCATTACAGTAACTGCAATGTTAGATAACGATGTGCGAACGCCATTCTTGGCGCCACGTATCGATCACATCTGTTATAAACCGGTGCCGGTCTTCACAGGGCTGCAGTTTTCCTCTTTCTGTTTTTGTGGGGGGTGGGGGGAAGTTTAAAGTACGTAAACATTTTGTAAGTTAAGTTTAACATAAGGATGTATCAGTTCCCATTTCCAGGACCAGATTTGGTCGTTAAGCGTATAAAGACGAGACGAAGTTAAGTAATAGAGTAAAAATGAAGCGGTCGATATCGTTTTGCTGGGATGTCTACTCTCCAGGCCTGCCGGGGGAATCAAATGTCGGCAGGAAGGAGCCGGTTGAAGAGCGGCCGCCCCGCGTCGTAACGGGAAACGTTCTCTGCAGTTTGGCAGGACGCCAGAGGTGCTCCACCAGCCCCGCGCGCGCGTGTTAACTTTCAACTCAACCAGATATCGTGATAGCCTCCATAGCATGCCAAAAACTGGGGGTTTGGGGGGTCTTTGGGAGCTTTTATGTGCTATTTTCTGATTGCGTATAGACAACATAGCAGGCCTGGTTGAATTACCCCGTTTTTTTTAGAACTGGGCTAATCAGAAAACAGCCGAAGACCACCAAACCCCCAGTTCTATAAGCCTGTTACGGAGGCTAATGTCATGATATTCTGCCTCCTTGTTCAACCAACGTTAACCAACCTCGCGTACATACTTGTCTTTCCCAATATTGATCGAACACTGCAAAATGGCAGGACGTGTTACAAATGTGACACTACATATACATAAAATGAATCCATAAAAGATAGGCTGAGTTAATGTTTTGACAGAATTAATTGTCGTTTTCATCAGCGATTTCCGATCGATGTCCTCCATAATCACAGGGATGACGTAAAGACGACAGCCCGACTCGGTGACCGGACCTGTCATTTGCTAATTACTTCCGGGTACGCAGGTCCTGTCTGGGGTGAGCTGGCTGTGACCCGCACTGGGATGGGGCATGGTGCTACTTTTGTGACCTAGTTCCGTCAAAACACACACACACCCAGGGCCCCCAAATCTAGAAGATCTACCCACCTACCAAATATCAAGACAATCCATTTCAACCTTCTTAAGCTATCGTTAACACACACATGCACACACACACACACACAAACACACACACACACACACACACACACACACATTCCAGCTTCTCCTTGGTGCTGAAATGCCTTCCGTCCGTGAACAGAGTAAGGAGTTGTCTGGCTGCGTTAAACTATGAATTTATTACTTTCCAATGCCGATCTATTGTTCTGTGTGCATTTGTGCGTATGCTTGTCCGGACAGAGTAAGTTGACAGAGTAACATGTTATGTTTCTGTTTCTGGTTATGTTATGTTATGTTATGTTATGTTATGTTATGTTATGTTATGTTATGTTATGTTATGTTATGTTATGTTATGTTATGTTATGTTATGTTATGTTATGTTATGTTATGTTATGTTATGTTATAACAAACCCATAGACTTGAATTTGTCGGAATTTTTTAAAAATCTTATAGATAGCTCTTTTTACGTTTTCATATTGTTGTGTTCCCTTTCATTCATCCTTCGAGTTTGCAAATGGAGTTTGGTGTTAAATCTTACAACGTGGCGTCGTCGACCTCCCTCCTTGACGCCCCCCTCCCCCCATGTTTCTTTCTAACTTGCATGTTTATAGTCGTTGATATTGGTTTTAAACCTTATAACAGTCAGACCCATAGACGTGTTGGAATATCTTTTTAATCTTATAACAGATAGTTAGATCTTTTTACGTTTTCATATCTTGGTGTGTTCCCTTCGAGTTTGCAACTGGAGTTTAGTAAATCTTATAACGTCGACCCCCCCCCCCTCCACCGCCCCCCTCCCTCCCCCCGCGAGACCTTTGGCCCGACCAGTGCTGACAGACTCTAAACCTTATAACATACCCATAGATATGCTAGACATGAATTTGTTGTAATTTTTTAGATTTTATAACAGAAAGTATAACTAGATATTAGATATTATAACTAGATATTAGATATTATTTAGATATTATAACAG